ACCTAATTCCCAACTTCCTTCATGGTAACAAGAAATTTAGCACCTTCAGTCTCTACATTAATAACTCCTTCTATCTTATTCATATTTGTGGTTTTTATGCATACTCTCCCTAGACCTATTGGTTCGTCCTCATCATCATCAACAAAGATTGTCTTATCCCAATAAGAAACAACCTTTTTAAACGAAGAGGGAGTCCAAGCATACAAGGGAAAACCCGACATTTCAATCCAATTTATACATTAATTAGGAACAAAATTTTTAGCTAGAGATTTATTTTGACTGAAATATAACATCATTTTCTTATTCTTTTTAAACTTTTCACGCGAATTCCTATTTTTGAATTCTATCCATACCTATTCACCACCAAGATAAGCTATATTCAAGTCATGAAAACCTTCTTTGTGGCATATATTGTAAAGATTTTCAATGGAATTAATATCTTTAATTCTCCCTAAAGCAATAGACATAGAATCATAAATAACGAGATGATCTTTAGATTGTAACTTACACTCCAGAATACAAGAATCTTCCTTCTGTAACATGACTTTTGATTGCTTTGGAATTTCCTTGTCTTTTGTTCCAGCCACTGCCGATGCATAAGATCTAGAGGACTTCCCATTCGACTGATTCATCCCATGAACGTTTCTTTCCTTGTGATTTTCTTGTTCACTAACATTCTTGTTACCGTCATTTGATCTTTGAAATCTAGCCTACGATGCGAAAAAGTGAAAATTCCCAATCCAAGTTCTATTCAGGTCTTCTACTATATGTGAAACATCCTTACTCTTTAGAAACTTAACAAATGCAAATCTTTTACCCAACTTGGGTATTTTTCTAGCAATATAGACATCTGAAACTGCAACATGATGTTCACACAATTTCCAAATGTCATTCACAAACATCGAATCAAGGAAGTTTGTGATATAAACATTATTCGAAATTTCCTCCAAGTTTTTATAGTTCTGATTAGTGTTGGCCTAACCGTTTCTTGATGCATGAGGATTTTCTATTTGTATATGATGATTTCCAATCCTCCACTACCACTTTTCATTATTTTGATTGCCTCCCATGATGTGAAAGCAGGAAAACTAATGGCCGATGACTAGAAAAACCTAGCACTATCGCTTTCCGGTGACAAGTCGGAAAAATCGCGGGTTTCTCAACTTTTTAAGTATTAATTAACATCAAATTTCATATAAAAAGAGCTTTGATGTTGGGTTCTAGATACTCTATGATACACGTACAAATAAGTGATGTGGAAATTTTGAAGTTAAGGATCCAAGATGTAAATATGATTACAAATTACAAAACATATTGTTATGATAGGGTGACAATTCATGATACAAAATTATGAAAAAATTGAAATTCGAAATCGTTTTCGTGTTTATAATTCAACACGAAATTGACACAATATTAACTTGTGTTTGTCGTGTATTTGTGTTTATCATGTTTATTGTGTTTTGTAAGATTAATTTTGAACGAAATAAACTAATGGTTTTTATTAATTTTATCTTTTTCGTGTTTGTTGTGTTGGTTGTTTTTATCGTGTTTTGATTGAAGTGTTTTCGTGTTAGTAAAACAAAACACGGTATCATGTCGTGTTCGTGTCATATGAAAATTGTCGTGTCGTTTCGTATTAACTAAAAACACATCTTGATTGTCCGATTTGCCACCTTATGCTATATGATTATATCTAATTCTTTTACAAAATTTTCCTTAATTTATCTTTTATTTCCATTTCCTCGAGTCTGAAAAATCTTCCAAGAGATCACATCTTTTATAAAAATTAGAAAGAGTAATCATTTTCTAAGACATATGTTTATAGTTTTTTTAGTCGTGCTGTGCTGTGCCATTTTAAGCCTTCTATGGGGTCCCATCCCATCTTCTAGTGCTATATAAAAAAGGTGTAAACATGGTGGGATTGTTTGAATTCTTACAACCACCAAAAAATAAAATATCCCTCGATTCTTCCAACATTTTTATTTACTGTAAATCAACAATCGTGTACGTGTCGAGTCTCATGAAACTCAGTTGATTTGATATATCATATGCTTTAACATCATCAACCAATTCAATGTGAGTAGTAATTAAATTGATTCCATGATACGACATAAGTGCTTCTTAGCACATTCACCATGGCATTATTCGAGTCTTGAGAATGATGTTGAATGAAACTTAATTTTGTAGGGGACCAAAGTTATTGCTCGTGACCCCCATTGAGACTGAGACTTCATAAATTGACATTTAGGAATTGGAACATCAATTCAACAGTCGTGATTGTCGAGGTAATCTGATCTAATGGAAATCCACCCAAATTTTGTTGCCCAAAATTAAAAATCAAATTAATTAGTAGATGGGAATGCATGTTTTAAAATGCAATTTCAGTAGATGTTTGAAAAGGAAGGCTCAAAAAACCTGATAAACTACACTAGATTTATATTAAAACTGGTTTGGCCAATAGAATCGAGTCAATTACAGCTCAAGAGTAATTCAATGAAAGTTCGACTTGTTTGCAGTCTTATTCAAATGAAATGAAAAAATTATTAGCTGCTTAGGTGTTGTTTAGATTCATGATTTTGCAAAATAGTATTTTTGGCCAACCTACAAACCTAAGTTAAAATAAAATTTCAGTATTTAATACTTTATGACTTTAAATATTGTCTAGTGTTCAAGTTTGTTTCATTCAATTTTTAAGGCTTCAAGTGGGTCCCTTTGTATTCATTGTGCTCAAACATGAAAAAACCAACATTTCTATAAGATATGGAAATTTTGAAATGACAAAGTATAAACTAAAATAGGTCCGGCTTGCATCAATAGAAAGCTTAGAATCTTCTTGTTTGAATCGGATGTTCCAAGACAATTTGATCACAAGAAGTGTAATGAGTTAGCCGTAATTTGGAGGTGTTACACTCAGACACCCAAGCTCATATTTGTACTTAAAAATGTGATATAAAAAGTTTGGGAGTGAACTCTTATTTGTTGATACATGTGGTTTCCAAAAGTTGCATGCATGGTTCTGAAACTAATTTTTTGAATTATCATCTGTTAAATGCCTATAAAATGACAATTATGCTCATTTTTCTCAATTATTTCTACATTATTGATAATTCATGGACCATTTCTTTAAAACACTGAATACAACCCAAGAGGCTTCATCCCATCGACATAGATCTCTCACTCTTGCCTCTAGCACGTCTCACACCTTTGGCATCTCGTTCTCTGCCTCTTTATGACTTTGTCTCTCCCTCTCCTACATCATGTGGATGATGGGGTGATGTGGTGTTGTTGGTAATAGTAATGGTGATTATTAATGCTTGGCTTCCAACGGTAGGTGGACGATGGTGTTAGTACTGGTTTTGATGGTGATTAGAGATGTTGGTGATGGTGGTTGATGGTGAAGATTTTTCTTTATTATATACAATAACTAAAAAAACATAATAAGGAAATGACAAATAGATGGGTAATTTCATCATTTCATATGTACATAACAGAGAGGTGTTGACGGTAACAACTATAGGGACAATGCGTGCAATTTTTCACAACCACAAGGATAAGCGAGTCATATAAAAAAGTCAAAAGTTGAACTAAAACCGCAGATGATGGATGTAAACCATAAAGACCAAAATTGTAACTTTGGTGTTGTTTGTTTTTTCGAAACGAAAATGCTTAAAATATGTGAACCATCTCTGTAACTCTCTGTAGCAGAAGAGGCGGACCAAACGGCTACAACATGTAATAAAAAGTTTGTTTGGTTTTTAACGTCTGCAGACTGCTACAGTAAGTTAAAGTAAGGTGTGAAGAGGTTTGAAGCAGTTGGTCTATTGATACACCACGCAGCACACGCACAACAATTTTTAAGTCAAAAGTCTTCTGAAAAACAAACAGCTACAAAGAGCCAAGTGTTGCGCGTGTGCTGCGCGGCACAGTAACAAATGGTCTGAAGTGGTTTTTTTATTAAAAACAAACATCAGTTTACTCTTGCAATACACATACGTTAACATATTTTATATTTATATATATACACAAGCATGGTTGTTCGATTTGAGCAAAATAATTTTTTATCCTCATTAAATTCCCATTTGTTTGTTTTTGACATTTCAACCACCAACTGCCCTTATCTTTTGTATGCTTTCGAGCGAATGGCCACATATTCCAAAATATCGATTTGCTATGATTTGGTTAATTGGGCATCACCATCACCAACCCATAATATCAAATGTCTCGCTTATCACCACCACCTCCACCGTCATCAACAGGTCCACCACTACTATTCATCCATCAGCCATCGATGTCAAAACAATCACCATTATTAACATCAATGTCATTCATCAAACTATGTTTCAAATAATTCCTAGATACATACAGACCTCAAAATCTTATAGTATTTGTATACAGTCTGAATAACTAGAAATGTACTAATATTTCTTGTTATATTTTGTTAAAATCAGTCATAAGCAATCATTTCATAGCAAGCACAAATTGTATTTTTTTATAAAAATAAAGTCTTCGTCAGTTACAACTATTTTCTTTAGGGTACTTGAATTCATATTTGAGTTGTTATTCATAATGATCAAACCTTTGATGAGTTTTTCCAATTAATCATTTGTTCGAAATCGATTTTTACGAAACAAGGAAATAAGAGGACAACCTTTGTTTCTCTTTACCTTTAAGTTTTCCAACATATTTACATACATATTAACATAGATGCATGCCTACCTACATAAATATATACATATATACATTTAACTGATCATGTCACCATTTTTTAGTGATTAAAATCTTAGGTTGTATCTGTCTTATTTAAATGTTATAACGCAACCGATTGTAAAACTTTTACAAAGTTTTGAATAAGCAAGTAAAGTAATGATATTCAGTTGAATTTAAGTTGAAGGAATGAACATGACAATTGAGAGAACATTCAACGAATGAGAGATTCTTCATAAATGAATTCATTATTCCGATTTAATCCATAGAAATAAAATGAAACAAAACATTATATAATGTCACGTCGTTTTCAAGTGAATTTTCCCGTGAACAAGTGAAGTACAAAAACCATCCCCTACTTATTTCAAACGAACATGTTTACCCCCTGAAAACTTTTATTGTTTCAGATTGCCCAACACTTTATAATTTATATCCAGACCAAATTAACGATCGGGAGTTGCGGACAGAGGGAATAAAGGTAACGTACCCTTTTTTTTATCTTCAGATCGTCGGAAGTCATGGTCCACCGCGCTCGCTTTTCTTCTTTTTGATTTTGGAAAAGAGTGAAAGCTGATAAATGTGTTACTTTTGGTCATCAGATCCAACTGCTCCAGTTAAGAAGACGACGATCATGATGTCAGTGTCACGCCTCCTCTGATCTCAGAATTTGTTCGTTTTTGGATTTTTCATGGAACAAAAAAGTATTTGCAGGAAGGGAGACAGGATCAGAGTAGGTGAAGAATGTCGGGGCGATCGGAATGATTGGTCGGCCGGTGATATTGCCAATACGAGTAGCTGCCTCTGCCACCGCGAGAATCTCATTATCCATCGTCGTCCCCGATCGGTGATGCATCGTTTTCATCCACAAAAGAGATACAGTGTTTTGCAGAAGGCAGCGAATAAGGACGATATGATTCTAATAGTTGTTGCCATACATGCTTCAGAAATTTGTACCCACTGCATTAAGCTACTTGTACAATTGAAAAGCACGCTTTATAACTGATGTTACGTTGTAAAATAGGCGGAGTAAAAGTGAGACTGTAACGACTTTTAATCAGTTAAAAGGGGTTTGATTGATTAGTCGATACAACTGATGTGTTTTGTTAAAATTTAGAGCAATTAATGTATTAAAAATACGATTAAAAAAGGTTTAATTGATTAAATAATAATTAAAATCTTTAAATACGACGAATTAAGAGATTTTAAACATTTGAAATATGTATCTAGCATTTTGGGCATGTTAGACTACCCACCCCACTTATATTTTTTATAGTTAGGCAACATAGAAGTTATTATGAAAATTTAAATGTTTACCTCAACCCTAACAAGTTCCTGTATGCGTCCCTCAAGGCGAGTTATACGTTCATCTTGCAATTGCACATAACCGTATAAGAATCTGAATTGCTTCTTTAGTTCGGCCACATGATCGACCAACTTTCTAATGATTTCACCATGTGGTGGAGGTGTTGGTGTTTCTATATGTGGGGGTTTCTATGGTGGTGGTTTTTGTGACTATAGATCTAGTGAATGTCATACTGGATGATTACATTATATTTGCTTCTATAATTATATGATTGATAAGAGTGTTTGTGTTGGGCATATGTTTATTGGCACAACATATCACAAGTCTTTTGGATTGCAGATAAAGTTCAATCTAAAAACTAAAAACGGAAATAATAAATAAATCGATTGTTTTGTTATTCATTAATAATTGATGGTTTAATTAGAAGTTAAAAATAAATAAATAAATAAATAAAAAATAAAAAAAATTTGCAATTACACATTTAATTACTAGTTGTGAGACTCATGTATTACATGAGTTATATATATATATATATATATATATATATATATATATATATATATATATATATATATATATATATATATAAAGATAAAAGTATTTGAAAACTTTGAATTTATAAAAAAATTAAAAAAATAATAATGAATTTTTATAATTGAAATGTTTTTTATCTTTTAAATTTAAATAAATAAACTAATGAACTTTTAAACTTTAAAATTTTGAGATTAAAAGGTAAGTTCATTAATGAAATAGATATCCATTTATTATTATATTTATTATAATTATTACATTAAAATATTATATGGAATTTAATAAAATAAAAAAACTCATAAAATGACATGCGGAAAAAAATTAATTCAAAATAACCACAAAATAAAATTTTGCAAATTGAATGAGAGTGTGACATGTGGCAACAAAAACCTTCGGTTATTAAAATAGATCATTGCATAATTATCAATTTAATTATAGATAATTATATCATTAGTTAAAATGATTTATTTGTAACACCTAAAATTTTCAAGCCAATTTAAAACTTTTCAAAACATTTAAAACCAAAGTTATTACAGATTTGTTTTCAAAATAGTCTATATCAGAGTTTTTCCAGAAACATAAACAAAACATGAGGAGTTATACGATCATTACTTCTCCTTGCCACGATCTCTTGATGTACTTGAAATAATAATATGAAATTGTAAGTCTGATAGTTTAGTGAGTTCCCCCAAAATACTGATACACTGCACATAATACATATACAAATAACAACATATACTGAGTCCACAGCGTTACAGACTGGATTACCCCCTGGGCCCACAGTGTGAGTCTGGATTGCCTTCCGTGCCCACAGCTCACATCTGGATTGCCACCGAGCCTACAGTACGAGTCTCCCTTAGCTCGTATTTGGAATGCTCCCAGGTTTGTTGGTTACTGCACGGAGCAGTATCACCTCAACCCATCCCACATAATATGTCGACATATAATACAACTAATGCACATACAAATAATCACATGATATTACAGGTAGTCCTACAGATCTACCTAACTGGCATTGCAACTAACATGCACCACTAACTCATACTCAACATACTACCAACTGCTAGGAAATCATATCCAATGGGCGGGCCTTGGTGCCTTAGACCCCTTAGTATAGTGAGGATAACTCACCTCACACTGTCGACTCGAAGATAAACTCAAGCTCTTAGATTGTCGGCACAAACTCGACCACCTATATTCACCATAGAACCATACTTGTAAATTTCCAATTTCCCAAAAATGTCCTCAGAAGTACACTGGTCAACCCTTGGTCAAAGTCAAAGTCATCGGTCAAGGCCAACAGTCCATGATGACCTCAACTCGTCGGGTACCCTAAGCTACTCGTTGAGTTCCTTGCATAACTTGCCAACTCGTCGAGTTCCTAAGGTTTGCACTCGTAAACTCCTTGGCTGAATCGTCGAGTTTCCCCTTGCAACTCGCCAAGTTCATACGTGTCCAAGGGTTGGGAAAACCCTAGCCGACTCGCCGAGTCACTCTTCTAACTCGCCGAGCCCACGACAATCTTCATCGGACTCACCAAGTCGACCATGCGACTCGCCGAGTCCCTTAAGTACTTCATCCATACAGATGCTTTTTAATCCATGCTAAGGCTCCAAATTGCAGATCCAACTTCCCAATGCATGTTTATCACGTAAAGTTGCAAACTTTACGTGCATGCAAAGCTCTAAAGTCTTAAAATGACCGAACTAAGCTTGTAAAGAAGTCTCACAGTTGAGGGAAGGTTCATGCTTGACAAAGCTAACAACTTTATAGACCTAGAGACCAAAGAGAGCTCATATCTGAAGTTGAAACTTCAGATCTTAGCTCAAACACAAGAAAAACTTCCAAAAATCCACCCAAATGAGATCTAAGATTAAATGAGGCCAAGATAACAGCTTAATACCTTCAAAAGGGTGCCCAATGAAGTACATCTTTGATCCCCATGAGTTCCTTGCTTCTAATCACTTGTTCCCCAAGATTTTCTCACCAAAATCCTTCTTCGAAGCTTAAACACACCAATGTAGGATACACACACAAATTAGGGTTTTGGAATGACAAAAGGTTGTAAAGGGGAGGCTGGGGAGGCCAATGGTCCTTTAAATACGGTGCAAAAACCCCAGAAATTATGGTTTCATCCGCCAGCTCCTACTCGTCTAGTCCCTTCTTGGACTCGGCGAGTAGGTGACTTAAACACGTGAACCAACCCATTGCTACTCAACGAGTAAGGCAACCAACTCGTCGAGTAGACTTTGAAATCAAGAAAAATCTTATATTAAAATCAATACCTAATAATCAGGGCGTTACATTATTGGCGAACAATTTTAGCATCAAAGCTCACCTTATTTGAGAGGTTTGCTTGGTGTGCAAAGTTGGCATAAAGGTTAGTCTATATAACACAACCTTTTTACCCTTCCCCCTTCCTAACCTTAAGAGCCACAAATGTTTTTTTGCCTCTCATTTATATTTGTGAAAACTTTAGGCTCCACAAACAGGGGTTGGTTGTTCCCTAAAAAAATCAAAAAATACAAGTAAGAAAAATAAGATGTTCTTGCTTTGAAGAGGATTTGTAGTAGGTTGTGAACTATAGAGAGATTCTACTTTACATCTTCTAGTTTTGGTTTTTGATCATCGAAAAAGTTAAACCATATAAAATCACTTTTAGTTTAGTTTTATTGCTTGAATTTATGAACATATATTTAATGGTTTGATTATGATATCTTGTATGGTTGCTTATGTTGTTTTTTTGTTTTGTAAAATTCAAATAGGCATCATGATCCAAAACTTTGTGTATATATATATATATATATATATATATATATATATATATATATATATATATATATATAGAGAGAGAGAGAGAGAGAGAAAGAGAGGTGTTTGTATCCCCTCAATCCAGGACAAGATGTATATAACATCAAAATGTTAAGGTACATTTTATTTTATTAAAGTTTGGCTTTTTGAAGTTGTCCCAACATGGTGCAGGATCACCATGACGTGTTTGGTCGAGAACTTCTTTTGACCCGCCAGGTTGTGGCCGCCGCTAGAGACTTAAACCATAACTTTTTGGGTTTTGCACCTTATTTAAAGGGATGATGATGGCATGAAGCTAGGGTTTACTCATCCTCAGCCTCCACCACCATCCATAGCTCTGAAAAAACCCTAATTCCTTTTCCTCCATTTTTGATGCTTACATTCAAGCTTTTGGAAGATTTTGAAGGAAGAAGAAAGAAGGAATGAGCCAAGAATTAGCAAGTAAGTTCCCATTTCTCTTCTTTGCACGTTTATGGACCTTTGTAAGTGTCCATGTAATGCCCGTAGATCCGGGCTAGTCACTTTAGAGACAATGAGCGTCAAAAATGACTTTTAGATAGAACATTATTTAGAATAAATAATCTTAACCAAGTTATAGTATATTTCACAAAGTTTCTATACAAATAAAGAACGCCAAAATCCGAGCTATAACGAAGAAGTTATGACCCGTCGAAATTTTACAGCAAAACCGGTGTGACACCGGGAATCGTAAAAAAGTGAATTTACGACAAAATACTTTCTAGCCTTAGTGATCTTCATAGTTGATGTTAAACTGAGAGTGTGCATAAAAAGAATGTCCAAATCTGACTTCGTATTAGGAAGTTATGATTTTTCTAAGATTTAGCATAACAGTGCACAACCCGAAATTCGAATTTTAGATCGGTCGATTTTCAGCCAAAATAATCTAAACGAGAAATGAAGATATCATTAATAGGATTTAAACGATAAAAAGTCATATGAAAATGGAGCCCGTATGCGAAAGATATGGATGAAGTTTAGTCTCTACTCTTCGAGCTCGGCGAATTCGATACAGTTTTGTAATTCCGAGATAGAATGAGAATTAGCCAACGGTGTCTAAATGAAAGTTATAGTACTCATAAATACCAACACATGGATATAAATAACGTTGAAAACAAAGCTCTTATGAGAAAGATATGGATGAACCTTAGTCTCTACTTTTCGAGCACGACGAATTCGAATACAGTTTTGTAAATCTGAGATACAATGAGAACTAGCCGATGGGGTCTAAATGAAAGTTGTAGTACTCATAAATACCAATGCGTGGATATAAATAACGTAGAAAACGGAGCTCGTACGCGGAAGACACGGACAAATCTTAGAGACTACTCTACGATAAA